TTATTTGTGTTATTCCATGAGTAAGTACTATGGCTTTTTGACAAGGTTATTTCAACCGGTCTATAACAACCCTGGCGCTGTCCAGAAAAATGAACTGGTTTATTTTTGCTGGCATATATGTAACTTCGGATACTGATCTCTGAATAGATTATAGTTTCTTTACCTTTTGCCACCTTTCGCCAGTTTCGACACCTTTCGCCAGTTTTGACACCTTTCGTCAGTTTCGACACCTTTCGTCAGTTTCGACACCTTTCGTCAGTTTCGACATTTCGTCATTTGAGATTTTAATTGACGAAAGTCGAAACTTTCGTCAGCGCGAAACCTCGAGGTTTCGTCTAACAACTATATCCGTATCGGTATAATTTTTATATTAATCATCTGATCTTAAATTCATACGTACGAAGTGCGTTACGTATCGTATCAATTTATAGAATCGAGATCACTAACTTAATCGAATCGGCCAAGAAATCATTCGGGTAATTTTTTATCAGGTGTTTCAGGAATTATGATAATATAGCTGTAACAGGAATTTTGCCATTATCGTTACGTATTCGGCAAAGCAGCCAGACAATTCAGGACGTTATTAACTCGAAATAGTATACCGTAACTGGGAATTTGTAATTTTAGACAAAATTAATTTATCAGATTTCTTTATGATGGGCAATTATCGAGTAGTCAATAACTTTAAAAGCGTGTAAATATTTATTTTCAGTTGTATTTGCTGAATAAATTACATTTTCACTTTATGATAGCAAAAAAAAAAAAAAATTGAAGTTCAAGGAAAAATTAATTTTAATTATCTCTAATAATACTAAATTGTAAAAATAATTTTAAATAGCTTTAACTACTTAAGCAATGCGGATGTTCTATAGAATAAACTCCGAAAACTCCGCTAAGTACCTATTAATGATTACTAATCATTAACGAAGCTTATTTCTTATATTGCCCACCTATTCTATAGAACATCCACATATTATTTGATTGTTAATCACAGACTAGCTTTTAAACCCTTATTTTCTTATAGATCTTTATAAGCATTAACTCAAACTCTTATGACTAAAATTTACTTTAACAGATTTGCACTACGATTTTTTTCCAACATAAGAAAAGGGCAAAGTGTGTATTTTTGAATCATCCAGCAGACTGTAGAAAAAAAAATTCCTGCGGAGCAATCACCCCAGTATAATAGCACATTGTATGTATAGGATCGAGGCTGACATACTTCGTATATCGATTTTTGAGTACATTAATGTTTTAAACCTGACAAGCATGGCTTCGCAAAAATCAGGTTATAAAATTGTTTATCTATGTGTGGCTTTTTTTTGTATCGAAAAACAATAAGTATAGCCTCTAAATTACTGTATTTAACATTAAGTTCACATTTTTGTACGACACTAATCTCGTATATTATTGATATTGGAAAAATTCACTCTCCACAATTCTTATTATCCTCATTATCCTCATGTCAATTTATTCTGCCTTTTAAGTTTCTAGAAACTAATGCTCATTAAAAAGAGGCGTAAATAAAACAATAAATAAAACAAATAATTTGAGAAATGTCAACATCATTGTGCCACATATTGGTAACGATAAAGTTTTTTTTTTCAATATTAATTCACCTACTTTCGCACGAGGAAAGTAGTGCGTAATTTTTTTCTAAGTGACAAACATAACGATCGATCTATAATTTTAGGATTAGTCAAAAATAGATCTTTTAATTTAGAATGTCCGAAACAGCTCAAGCTCCTACTTCTAAGGAAGAACATCTGGGAATTACTGTCCCAGAAGAAGTAAATATATTTATTAACGATTATTAACGATTATTAATCTCCTCTTACCGTTACTTATTCATTCATAATTGCAAATTTTTTATATGAAACAGACTCCTTCAGAAAGTTCTACAGCACGACCAAATATTATTCAATCGTTACTACGACGTGTACTACCAAGTAGTGAAAGAAAAAAAGAAATAATAAGTATTTATGATGATGAATGGGTAGAGCAGGATATTATAAGAATAGTGGTAGAACCACATAGAGTATTACATTTATTAAGTGAGGATGATCGAAATATTTATGAGGAAATGAAAAAATGGGTAGAAGATAATCCGAATGAGGGACTATCTGAATGTATTGAAGAATTTGGTAATGAATTAATCTTGTTAACTTAAATATTCTGCTTATTTTATATTTTTATCATTAACTAAATATCTGACTTTATATATAGGGACTAGACCATTAGGTGACGCCTTAGCGAAGGTGCTTTACAACTTCCCATTCCCTGACTTCATTCTCACATTTAATGATAGCGATCTAAGAGTTGATCATAAAAAAGATCAAAAAGTTAGAGATATTAGAAATCAAAAACGAAGGAATTTCCATCGATTATTGTTGAAGTCTGGTTTAGTCATCGAACAAGAACAAGATGCTGCTAGTCAAAATGTATATATTAAATTGTTTGCTCCATTTGAAAAATTATGCGAACAGGCAGAAGTGATCAAATTGAGGATGAGATTAGATGTATGTATTAAATGTGTTTGTAAAATTTTATGATATTACATTTTAATAAATGCTGAATAAACATAAACATAATTAATTCTTTATAGACATCAAGTATGCAAGAACTAAAAGAACTAGATGAGTTAATTCCTCAAACGCAACGACATGTTGCCATAATCATGAGATATTTCACACATCCTATAAATTTAAAAAAACAATCAGCTATTTTTAAGACTGAAAAAATAAGACAATTTCGAGGTGCTGAAGAATTCAGATCTAGATCTGATATTATAATGAATTTTTTTTCAATGTCAAGAAGGAATTTAATGGTATTTAATGATTTATTAAGAGTTTAAATTAAATAATACGTGAATGGATTTAGAATAATAGATAATTAATTCGTATCTATCTTTTAACAAAATATAGGTTTATAGAATAATAGTAATAGCCAATCAAATTCAAAAAAAAGTTAATCAAGTTTTGGTTAAACGTCAAATTAAATCGTTATCGATTCAAAATTTAGTCCTAAACAAAGTATATCTTAGTTATTTTCCATTGCATGATGGTCATTATAAACATGATGATACAATTCATGTTGAAAGATTGGTAGCAGAAAGTTTTTATGGTGAACCGACATATAAATCTATTGATGATGATCGCAAACCAATTCTTGAAAGCGTTAGTGATAAAGATGATGGTGAAAGATCTATTTCTGATAGAAAACATGTTGTGGATTTAAATAAACGAGCATGGCTATTTGATAATTGGGTTAGAAGTTTTAATAGACAACCATTAGAAGAGATTAGAAAATATTATGGAGAAAAAGTGGCATTATATTTTGCTTGGTTAGGTGTGTTTATATTTAAAGAATGTACAATATTAATATTAATATAAATATTATTATTATTATTATTATTCATATACGTATATATATGGGGTCTTTACCTTGTACCGTAAGGTCATTTTCAAGGCAAAGACCCCATATATTTATTTATTTAAACATGGCTCATATAATCAAAAAAATTTTTTTATGATTTTTAATCACAGGTTCCTATACCACTTGGTTGACGATATCATCCATAGCTGGTATAATTGTTGTTATAAATGGGACAATACAAGGCTTAAAGTAATTCATCATTCCATAAAAAAACAACAACAATTTTTATGATAGTAATACATTTTATATTTCTGAATTGATTTAGGACGCATGCATTTAAAGGGGCACTTAAAGGCGATGTTTCTGGAATTTCTATTATTTGGGATAATTCATTGACAGCGCCTTTTGCTCTTTTTATGTCTGTATGGTGTAATTATTCAATTAATTTTTGGCTATTTTATTTTTTTGCGAATTTAGAATGGCATTATTTATTTTATTATTTATTTATTAGCGGTATTGTTTTTGCAATTTTGGAAAAGAACCAATGCGTCAATTCAATATGACTGGGATATTACAGAATTTGAGAAAGAAGTTGGTTATTCACTATTTAAATTTCTTAATTATGACACGTATATGATGTATTAATCCGAATTTATGTTTAGGAGCTACCAAGGCCAGAGTTTTATGGGACAGGTAAATTTTCTTTTAATTAATTATAAATGTTGCAGAGGATATTGGAAACAGGTGATAGCTAATACTGAAAATTGGGTGTCTCTATTTGAAAATATAAACTTTACTAAAACTTTTTCTATTACCAAATCTATAACTTAACTAAAAGAAAAGAAAAAGAAAATAAGAATATTCAGAAAAGTTTAAAATATTCATATTGGGATGGGACCAATTTCCAGTATCAGCTATGACAATATATGCATATACATGGGTGTCTAAATTACTCCTCTTATTAAAAAATTATTTCGACATTTAGTTTGTCGAAATTAATTTTTCTTAGTGGCGAAATTAATTTTCATAGTTGTCGAAATTTTTAGTGAAATTATCTGAATCCTTTATGTCAAAATACATTAGATAGTATAATTACTTTGTGGAATTCATATAAAAAAATCTGCAATGTCGAAATGTTTGTCGAAATTGCTTTTTTAAAAAATAATTTAGGCACCCATGTATATATATGCATGTGAATATTAACCTCAAATCTTCAAATCTGTAGAACTTCGTAAATCACCGATCACGATGAAAAACGAAATTCACTTCCCATTTCATCAGAGGCTTCAAAAATTGATCGTTTCTGGTATGGTTGTTTTTGTTTCTGTAAGTTGATTTCTTTATATTAATTATAATTTATCGGTTTATCTTTCAATAATTGTGGCAAATTAAAATGAAATCAAATTAAAATCAAATAAAAATTAAAAACACATAATCATAGTAAATTCATTTTAAAATTATGGTTAGGCGTAGAATCACATCAAAGTATGAATTGGTTCACATGATCGAAAATAATTAAAATTGCGCAGTTTTATTTTCATTAATTTATTTAATTTGATTTCATTTAAATCTTCCATAATAATTTATTTCTTTCAAACTAATAATCATCATTTCTTATATAGCTAGGCATCACGGTAATAACAATTGGTGTCCTAATACTTTTCCCACAGTTGTGGAATGAGGTTGGAATTTGGACTTCAGTTTTAGCAGCTTGTGTGAATTTGATTACTATATTGATCTTGAATATGGTATGTTTGTTATTTATACATAGCGTCTTGTACATCAAAATTTGTACTAATGAAACTGATTAGATATACAGTAAAATTGCATTGTGGCTAACAAATTTTGAGAACCATAAGACTCCAACACAATTTGAAGGTATAAAACTTTTTTCTTATCATAATGCTATTTGTTTACTTAAATTTATTGACTTTTTTTTGTTATATAAACTAGATGCCTTAATCTTAAAGTCTTATCTTTTTGATTTTTTCAATTTTTATTCTACATTATTTTATATAATGATTTTTAAAGAACGGGTATTTGTTCTCTATTCTCATTTCTTTTCTCTATTCTAAATTAAAAGTAATTTATGAATTTAACATTTTATAAAAAAAAACAAAAAGTACGCAGGTGAAATTGTGAAACAAACAAACATCGGATGTGATTATCAAAATTGTATGATAGAACTTACAATTCAATTAGCGATTATATTAGTTGGCAGGCAAATCATTGGACAATTTCAAGAAATACTTATACCGTACGTATTTAATAAATTTAATTGCTTAATTATATTCCAAACTAACTCTATTTTAATTCTATAGGTGGATTAGTGGTAAAATTAACAGAACGGTAATTTTAAGTGAAATAGAAACATTAAGAGAAAAATACAGGCGCTCTGGTAGGAAAAATACTGAGGTACCTCAGTGGGTCCATGATGATCGATTATCACGTTCACTTGGTACTATAATTGAATATGAAGAAATGGGTTTGTATTTCATGGTTTATGATATAAAATCAATATATATGTTTTGTAATTTATTATTTTACAATTGTCACTAAATTTATTTGTTCTGGCAATAGTCATTCAATTTGGATTTATTTCATTATTTGGACCTGCTTTTCCGTTAGCCCCTTTGTTTGCTTGGTTAAATAACATTACTGAGATTAGATCTGACGCTTTTAAAGTAAGATCATTTTAACTAAAAACAACAACTACTTCATTCTTATTAACTATTTTATTTCAGTATATTGTAGAAACACAAAGACCAGTAGGCTTCTTAACCCAAGATATTGGAATGTGGGAAACTATTTTAAACATTATAGCTTTTATGGCAGTATTAACAAATGCCATAATTATTGCATTTCATTCTACATGGATGAAACTATATCTTCAAAAAATTATTACCAACCCTGATAATGAATTTGAGTTATTGGTTGCCAGATTGACTTTCATAATGATTTTTGAGGTATAAAAAGTTTATTTTTTTTTGATAAATACCAAGTGTTATGTCTAAAGTTACCACTTTATACTCAACCGTTATATATTCTATCAATATTAACCAATCATTTATTATCTTTTTCTAGCATGCATTTTTTTTGATACAACTGTTTATTGCATATATAATACCCGATATTCCACGCACTGTTCGATTAGCAACAGAAAGAGAGAAATATTTAGTAAAATTGACAATGGAAGATACATTACCCGCTTTGGATGAATTTTTATCAACCAATGATGAGACTGATACTTCATTATTTGATCCTAATGGTGAATTAAAATTACCAAAATACACGATTGATGAAGGTATTATAGCTAGAAGTAGATCAGGATTTAAATATGGAATTGGAGGTATTATTAGTGATACGGGTAAGGCTGTTGGTGGAGCTGTTAGTAATGTTGAAGAAATTGCTGGAGGAGTTATTAGTGATGTAGGTGCCGCTGTTGGTAGCATGATTGGTACAACTGATAATGCTGAAAAAGATCAGAAAGAAAAAAAGTGATAGTTCAAGTATAGAATTAGATTGAATGTTGGTATAGAGGACTCATTTATTTAAATTTGTATATTTATGATTGTCATCTTCAAATTTTTGAATTAATAAAGCAATAACCCTTAATAAAATCTAATATTAAGAGGATAACGGTTATATCAGGTTAAAAAAGGTATTCATGTAAAGGTTCTAATTTTTTTCAGGTAAAAAATTAACCGGTACGATCACCAACTGTTCTTTATACATTTAATTATTATAAACAAAGTTTTAAGGTAAGGCAATGGATAAGGGTTTAAGGATGACTTCTAAAGTAATTATTTATTTAAATATTATCAATATGTAAATATATACGAATTGAATTTTTGTCACAAATATATTTTAGCATATATTTACCAATAATATCTCCTTAGGTTAACTGAATATCTTAATTATTCACCTGTGTTACGGTCGAATGGGAGAGCTTTGGATAATTGAGCTTCGATCGTGGACAAATAGTGATTGGGTTTATATCAATAAACTAACATACATAATTACAGGTTATAAGATTTCTCTTTATTAACTTAAATCAATACATCAGACTATTACAATAATACTAAAATTAATTTATATGGGAGTTTTAATCCCTCGCTTGGAGCTTCAACCACTCGATTGGAGTTTTAATCACTCGATTGGAGCTTTAATCACCCAACCGTGCCACAAACTATACCAAAATAAGAAATTCATAAAATAACGATAATGATAAAATAATTCAAGTTGATAGTAGGTCAACAAATCGAAAAGACAGTCAAGCAGTGATGCATTAGCAAGCGACGACACATGGGTGATCCCAGTTCCAACAAGAGAATCCGGTGTATGCAATGGTATAAATTTAATGAAATTACTAATTTAGGAGTTTATGGCGCGAATACTAATATACGTAACCAGATTTAGCAGGGAACTATGACACTAACATACAGATATAGCGGCAGGGCAGCACGACAGTACCTTTCAAGAGGCTAATCAGCTTCGCACCCTACCCTACCCTCCCTCAGTAGAATCCTGCCATTTTGTGGCAGCTTAAACATCTCTTTACAGCCGGCCTGCGCTATGCAGGTGGGAAACCACCGGACTACCCCAGTATCGCCATCAAAAATTTCACCCCCACGTGATCTGTTACATAAATATTTGAAGATCCTATTAATAAATTCGAAGGTTTTTTAATACTTCTAGCGATGTTTTCTCAATACCTACTTAATGAAATACGACAAAATTTTTTTATTTTAATTATAAGGTTTTGTAAAATTAAAATAAAAAAAGTTTCATTGAATTTGGTTAGGTGGTTGTCGAGAAATCATCGCTAAAAGTATTATAACCGCTTAAAATATGTCAGAAAAAAATACTAAAATCGTGAATTTTTCTTTTTTTTGAAATTTAAACAAATATTTCTTGACACCCAACCATCCAAATTCGATAAATTTTTTTTTATTTTAATTCTGTGGATCCATAAAGTTAAAATAAAAAAAAGTTATCGAATTTGGATAGTTGGGTGTTGATAAATATTCTTTAAAAGTTAAAAAAATTTGGCCGCAGCTTTTTTTTAAAGACATCTAAATTTTGAACGAAGATAACTCAGCACTTACCTTATCAAATTCGATCAATTTTTTTTATTTTAGTTCTATCAAATTATGAAATTAAAATAAAAAAATTTTGACCGAATTTGATCAGGTAAATGCTTAGTTATCTTCGTTCAAAATTTAGATGTCTTTAAAAAAAAGCTGCGGCCAATATTTTTTGACTTTTAATAAATATTTCTCGACAACTAGCTTCTAATTCGTTCAATTTTTTTATTTTAATTTTATGGTTCCACGGAATTAAAATAAAAAAAATTTATCGAATTTAGATCAAAAACTCTTTGTTTAAAGTTTTTTTAAAAATTTTAAGAAAAAAAACATTGCAATAAATTTTTAATTTAAACTTTAAACAAAGATTTCTCGACACCCAAATATCAGAATTCGATGAAAGTTTTTTTATTTTAATTCTGTAGAGCCATAGAATTAAATAAAAAATTTTGAGCGAATTAGAATAGCTAGTTGTCGAGAAATATTTATTAAATTCAAAAAAAAATTGGCCGCAGCTTTTTTTTAAAGACATCTAAATTTTGAACGAAGATAACTCAGCATTTACCTGATCAAATTCGGTCAAAATTTTTTTATTTTAATTTCATAAATTCATAGAACTAAAATAAAAAAAATTGATCGAATTTGATAAGGTAAGTGCTAAGTTATCTTCGTTCAAAATTTAGATGTCTTTAAAAAAAAGCTGCGGCCAAATTTTTTTAACTTTTAAAGAATATTTA